TGTGCATATAATTTTATTTATTAATGTCATAATACATAAAAAATGATAAATATATAAAATTAAAGTTATAGCTTGTTATACGGTATTAATTTATATAATCGGATTTAAATTATAGAAGATCTATAAATGCATGTGTGCGTGCGTGCGTGCGTGTGTCAGTCAGGACCACATGAATTGCCTGCGGGCCTGTTCTAAAAATAGCTTATCATAGCAATTTACCAGTAAGCTTCATCTAATATTTTTGTAGCTATTATTTTCATTTCACACTTGCATTGGAGTAAAGTTGAAAATAACATTGTTTTACACACACACATATATATATATATATATATATATATATATATATATATATATATATATATATATATATATATATATATATATATATATATATATATATATATATATATATATATATATATATATATATATATATATATATATATATATATATATATATATATATATATATATATATATGTATATATGTATATATATGTGTATATATATGTATATATATATGTGTATATAAATGTTTGGAAGCATGTCTTTTTGAGACCAGTTACTTTTAGGCATGTTGTTTTGCAAAAGCATCTCTTAAAGTGATAGTTCACCCAAAAATGAAAACGTACCCACTATTTTCTCACCCTCAAGTGCTTCCAAACCTACAATGTGACCCCACAAATGATGTTTTACCAACTGAGGAAGTCAATGGTCTCATGTTTCCAGCATTTATTATTATTATTATTATTAATTTTTATTATTATTATTGTTATTATTATTATTATTATTATTCTTTAAAGGTTAAGTAAATTTCAGAATTTTCAGATTTAGGTGATCTTTCCCTTTAATTCAATTTCCAACCCAAAGAGCCACCCCCTTTCCATGCTCCTTGTGTTCATCCTCTTATCCGTGTGAGACTTGCGGCAGTACCTGGTCAACTGTCAGGCTGGATTGAGTGTTGACCGCTGTCAGAATAGGAGATGCGCTCTGATGCCCTGTCTGGCTGATTGACCTGTCAGAAGGACTGATATATGCAAGGCAGAGCTGCACGGACAGGTGCGCGCTGCAGCTCAGAAGGCGGAAATTATCTTTTAGGGCTTTTGTAAAGCTATTTTTCTGGAAAACAAATCTCTATATATTAAAGAAGAGTTTAAAACACAAAAGCCTCAAAGTTCCATCTGATTTTTTTTTTTCTAAAATTGGCATTTTCCTCAGCCTCCTGTGTGTAGGTTCATAGGTTCAGTCATTTTATTTTTATGGCTACAAATAGGTTCTTTTCATTGCCTTCTAAGTTAAATTACTCAACATAAGCATAGCAAGCTGATATACGGTAGAAGTCAGAATTATTATATATAGAACTCCAGACATTTGTTTATTGTTGCTGTTTAATTAGATCAAACCTTGTTCCCATATTTATGTGTTCATTTATTTGTTGATTCTTAAATGTAAATCAAGCCTCTAAAATAGTAAAATCTGGATATTCCCTTACCTTTATTTAGTTTTTTTTTAGGTGTTTGACTGCATTTTTAAGTGGAAAAATGTGCTATATGTCATCAACATTTCTTTGTTAACTGTACTGCAGTTCAATCCAAACACTCTTTCAGATTTTAGCTCTGTCATTTATGGCTAAATTCTAAAACATTAATATATGACCATATTAACACCTTAATCGTTTCATGCCTCCTTTTTCCCTCTCTAAAGACTGTACTTTATTTTATTATTAGTCTTGAAGCAAAAACATCTAATTGTAGTAAATAACAATTTTCTACATTATTGAAAAAAACCCTTGTTCACTGTTTAAATTTCCCACCCTTTTGTTTTGTTCGAGATGAAAACATCCACTGAATTAAACTGCTGTAAAAATCCATAAATATTTTTTCACTTTTTAAATTTTTTTTGCATAAATCTATTAAATCAACCTCAGTCCTGATCAAAACTACTAAATTGTTTAGAAAAAATACAGGAACTTAAATCTTTAATTGCCAAATTTACTTATGATGTCACTGATTTGGAAAAAAACAACAACAAAAAAACAACACACACACACATTAAGGTAAGTGCGCGAAGGTCAGTCTCAGATGTATATACACACACTTTCATTTGCTGTTACACTCCATATAAAATCCAGAAACTCTAAGCTTTTTTGCACAGGCCTATCTAAAATGTTAATTGTGCTAATTGATGATCAACAGTAAAAATTACAAATTTTACCTCACCCCAACAGGAAAAACCAGCAACAATCAAGAATGCATGATTTAATGTCATGGTTTTGTATTTTTAAAAAAATGTGGTTATAATGGCAGTCAATGAGACAATAACAGCCACCAACAGTAAATTAGGGAGAAGAAATAAAAATTAATCAAAAACAATCCATCAAATGTTGTTTCACACTACTTTGATAAAAGATGCAAAAAAAATCCAGTACACAACTATTTTTTTATATTGAAACTACATGACTTTATGTGTGTTTTTTTATTATTAAATCAGTGACATCATTTTCAAATTTGACAATTAAAGAGTTAAAATCCTGTAATCTTGATCAGGACTGAGGTTGATTAACAGATTTATGCAACAACAACAAAAAAAGTGAAAAAAAAAATGTGATGGATTTTTGTAGCAGTTTAATTTAGCGAATTTAATTTAGCAGTTTAACATAACGAAAGGGTAGTAAATTTGCCCAGAGTCTATCGTTGATTGAAACAAAATATTTTCTCAAAATATGTGTCCAAACAAGATTTGTCACCAAAAAAAGCATTCAACTAGCTTACCGTACGTTCACACTGAAAGCGGCGAGAGCGTCAAAGTAGCCGGAAGTCATTCATTTTCAATGATAGCTGGCGGGGTTAAGCTGCAAGGCGTGTCTTCGCCGGTGTGGGCGTCTAGGAAAGTGTAAATCAAGTCAACTTTATGGTAATGAGCTATGA